AATACTCCGAGTTTTCTTAGAAATGATTCTGAAATTCTTTTAACAAATGCATTTTGTAGAGCAAACATTTTTCTACAAAATTAGATGTTTTACAGCTCTGAGAGAATCGTGATAACTGATTTACAGCAATTCTTCCGGATGCCCCAACATCAGTTAAAAAAACTGGAGCATGTCTAATAGCGATATAGCATGAATGAAAGTATATCTACACTATTCCATTAAGTAAAAGTTGAATATAAAAATGTTTTTGTGTGTAATTGGTAGAATTTTTATTCAGAAAAGAAATGTTGAACTACTTCATCAGAAAACAGCAATTAATTTCTCATTTAATTTCTTATACTTTTTAACTTTCACTCACATATCAAAGAGTTAACATCCAAAGTTATCATGATAGTCTGACTAAATAACTTTTAATAAAATGTTTCTATATACAGCAATTGAAAATAAATACTATTATTAGTGTTTTATTAGTATTGAGAAATACTTTTTTTTTATATTTAATATATAAGGTACTATATCACTGTCTATTTCACAAATATATGTAAGGGTAATATTACATTTAGGGCAGACGTGCGTTTAATTAAATAGTAAAAATCATTAGAAAAATTAGATTGAGCGTAGAAATATCTTTTTTGACATTTGCATCAGTTTTCACTTTATTAAATTTCTAAAAATATATCAAGTAATTGATAATACGAGTTTTTTTGTGCGAAATGAAATATCTGTTAATGTGTGAAAGTTAGCAGCTAGGAAAAAGTAACATTAGTTAGATTATGAAAAAATAATATAAGGAAAGAAAATAATAAATTTTTTTCACGAGAAAAGAACAGTAATAATTGTGTTTTTATGTTAGATGATGATGAGAAAATGAAGAGAATTGATGTAATTAACTACAACATGTTGAACCGATAAACTAAACTGGATAAATGATGTTTCAAGATCGATATGGTTTAAGAATAATTAATTTTACGGAAAAAAGAATGTATATACAAACACTTTTTTGTTAATATGCATCAGTAATAATTATTATACATCCTGTATGCGTGTCAAATGTTTTCTCTTTAAGACTTCAGATATTATAATTATCATTTACTTAACGGATATATTGTCTATTATGATATGCTTTTTTTTTCAGACTTTATTTGATGTTTAGCACACAAAGAAATAAAGAAACGACGAAAGAAAAGATATAAGAATGGAACATTGAATCTCAAAATCCCCGCCTCCTCTTCATGTTCCTATTTGTTGTTGTTTTTTTCTTTTTTTTTTTAGAAAAAAATATCATCAAGTGGAAGTCTATTGTAATATTCAAAATACATCAATAAAATTCGATAGGAGACGAAAGAATATTTTTTTATTATTAAGTCAGTCGTTTCAATAGTGATTTTATTTTTTCTGTACATTTAAAAAAAATAGAAAATTTTTCAAATCATACGAGCTATAAATTATCTAGAAAAAATATTTTCATGTTAATCTAGAATATCTAAAATAAAGTATAGAAATCTAACGTTATTATTATCATGCAATAAATAAATAATAGGAGAATATATGAAACAAGTATATACATGCATATACACTTTAATTCTTATTTATTATCTCTATTCAGCAACACAGACAATTATGTTTCTTCATCTATCATAGACAAAAACTTAAAAAGAGTTTCATTAATCAAAAAATTGCAGTCTATTTTAAGGTAAAATTATTATAGACTAATTTTTTATTACAATAAACTATTTTTTTTTTAAAAAGATTAAATAATTGTAGATATCATACTGTACACGAATTCTAAAATTACACTTCACTAAGTGGAACTTTACTAAGCATAATAAAGTTCAATTAAGATTTTTATTTTTATTTTTATTGATTGATTGTCTTCTTTTAACACTTTTTTTGTCAGAAAGTATAGAGTTTTTTTAATTTGGCATTTTATGGAAAATTCTCGAGTTAGAATTTACTCATTTTCTTTATTATTTGTCACACATGTTATATTTTTTCTTACTTTCTATTCATACGCTCATTTTCTTTTTTTATATTCTCATACTATTGTGAATCATAATCGATTTTTTTTGAAAAGACAAAACTATTAGGAAGAAAAGAAGAAGCGAGCTTATTAATATTTTTTTTCATAGAGTAAGATAAGATCTCCCTAGTATAAAACTATCCTTAGTTTTTCAAATATATATGCATAGTGTGCAAATAGATTTTGTAACTTAGATGTTAGTTTTAGTTTTATTTTCTCATTTTACGCGTATATATAAAATAAGAGCTATTCAAAATTTTCATTTTCAAATATCTCTCTAGTACATATGAAGAGATTAAGTTTATCCAAGTGTAAAAGTAAGTATTATTTATTTATTTTTATTGCTCATCCTTGTTTAAATTACATAATCATACTTCTTAGATATTTTTGTTAAAACTAGAAGATCTGATATTTATAGCTAGAATTAAAACGGTTTTGTCTTTCTCCTCGCAATGGTTGAAGATGATCTTTGACAGAATATAGCTTCAATAATCCATAGTCCTATATATCTAATAGTTCTGAATCTAACATCATAGTTAATTTTAGTTGAAAATATATAATTGTAGTATTATCAAAATAAGGATGTACTGTGGTCAAGCCAATGGACAAGAGTATCTCTCTAAAAGACGACTATAATTTTCAAGATATTTTTTGATCTCAAAACAGGATATGTATAAGGTTGTAGAGAAAGACTTGCTCTATCTAGTGGTGCATATATTGTTGAACTCTAATGTGCATTGTCGCAAAAAATTAAAGGTGACATTCCGATTTTTACACTTTTTTTAGAAATTTTTTTGTTTTTGCGTTAAATATTGTGCATTATAGACTAAAGTATCTTCTACAGAATAAGAGCACTCCCAGCTCTCCAAGGCCTTCCGTTGAGGAGATACCAATTTTTTTGGAAGTTTATTACTTTACGCTGAAAAAAATCATATTTTTATTTTCGAAACTTTTTTCTCTTCTATTCAGCTCTTGATAAATTTTTCACATAATGTCATTTAAGAAGAGCCGAGAAATATTCCATTTTGTAGAGATATCTTTACTCTACGAGACTTACTGTCTTTATACTTTAAAGATTTTAAAAATATTCAAATGCCCTCAACGGAAGGTCTTGAAGACCTGGGAGTCCTCATATTTTGTCGAGGGCATTTTACAATATTTAACATTAATCTACAGGATACACGGCTGGATAGAGCATGTCTTCCTCTAGAAGCTCATAAATATTATGTTTTGAGGTCAAAAACTTATAATCGCCTTTTGGAGAAAAAATATTATTTTCTATATCATTTTCTTGTAGAAACAGACATTTTGGTCAACATATGGAGAATTAAACCGTAGAAGAAAAAAGTAATTAATTACTTCTCACTCTCTTTATTCAGCACTTCTGTGAAACGATTTTTTAAAGGTAGTTAGGAATTCAATCTTCTTCAATTAGTGTCGGCTCTTTTAGATAATTTTTAGAAAATATGATGGAACGAGATAGTACACACAATTTAAACGGAACCGCAAATAATTATTCATCGCATTTATCAGAGCGGTTTTTATTTGATCATTATGATAATATAGATCAACAAGAATTAACAGCTCTATTTCAACAAATGTTTTCAAAAATTATCACAACAGTCAATGAAACACAGCAATATTCATCAGTATTACCACGTGATGGTACTTCAGCCCTCGTTGCTTTTTTACCATCAGCACTTAATGATAAACCCTCTTCTCTTCTATGGAGCAGAATATCACTTTGGTTTGTTCTAATTATTAATCCAATTTTGGTAAGTCTATCAACACTATAGAATCGTTTTGTACATCCAAGATTTCTAACAATATATCTGAATTTTACTTTAGATTTTTCTGGGGGTGATTGGCAATTTTTTAGCCACATATATTCTTATACGTTGTAAAATTGCCACGTTATCTGTCACGTTTTATACAGTCATGCTCAATATATCAGATACACTAAATTTATTAATACCGGTATTTATATTTTGGCTCGATAATTGTGTAAATCGTAAAGGTGATAAAGGCTATTTTCGAGATAAATCTAATTTTTTATGTAAAGCATTAATGTGTTCCGATCAATTATTTGCCGCTTTAAGTGCTTGGTATATGTGTGCAATCAGTTTTAATCGTTGGCGAAGTGTTTGTCGACCATCGACATTTTATATGAATAATAATAATAATAAAAATAATAATAATAAGCGGTGTACTTATAATAGTAACAGTAGTCATCGAAAACAATCATCTTCACATATGTTGTTCTCCATTCTTCATCCTCAAAATTTAAAATCGTTTCGAAGTATTGCCATAATAACAGTAATATCAATATTATTATCATGTATTCCAATATTTTTTCATGAATTACGACCGGTTATGTCATCGGATGCTTACATGTTTAATGTAAACAAAATAATTGGACATACACATTCGGTTATTTGGAAACGTTGTTATTACAGTCATCAACATGAACGTATTTACGATGTTATTGGTATTTTATTATCGATTATCTTACATATTATTCCCTTAACAGTTGTAGCCGGGATGAATATAATGATCATTACAAGATTACATCATCGGCATACACTATCAACGTCTTCCATAGCAAATCCTGTCAAACATCTTGATAAAAAGAATCTTATTATTCATAAAGAACAAAAGTCAAAATTATCAATTGATATTCAAGAACCCATATGTGCACCAGTTATTCCCTTATCAATGTCATTAAAACGGCAACAACGGCATGTTTCATTACCCTATCTTCAAAAACGTGTATTATTTACCGGCGTAAGTCTAAAACGCTCAAAAACTGACAAAAAAATGATTAATCACGAAATCGATTATAGTAATGTTACAATTGATGAACCACAAGAAAGACGGTTTATAAGTAGACACTGTTCACGTGATCGTACAATAACTATAATGTTAGTATCAGTTGCCGTCTCTTATCTTGTTCTAACATTGCCATATCGTCTACTGTGGATTTCTAATGTATGGGTCAAACGTTCATATCCAGAACGATTAAGTTCAACCAGTTATGCATGGAAAATGCATTATATTGATCATTTTTTAAGAACAGTACGAAATATACACTTTGCAACAAATTTTATTTTTTTCATATTATTATCAAAAGCATTTCGAGAAAAATTTCGACAATTATTTATTGATAAATTCAAATCTATAATTAGTAATCAGCCGAATAATAATAATAATAATAATAATAATATGGATGTTTGCACAAATATTGTTCAATCACAACATGTGAAAGGTGATTATGAACAGATTTCACGTGTAGAACAATTATGATGTAGAATGATAAATAGAATATATATAATAAAGTAATAATTATGAAATGAAACAAAATTTTTTTAACCGAATCTAAAAAGATCAAACATAACAGAATTTCACCTTAATTATTCTCTATTGTGATAAGCATCATACAATTAGTAACTTGTAGAACAGGATTATCATTAATAACTGCTGATTAAAGAAAACAGTTTCCGGAGTATTGAATACTATGGAAAATCATTACTTTCTTCTAGGTAAATATAACCGGGAACATGATATTTTTTCATTTTTTTTCCTTGAAGGAGAAAAATGAATGCCTCATTGAATATTGAAGAAAAGAAAATGCTTCAATGCTAATTTACGCACAATATCTTTGTTGTTTTTGTAGCAGTACAAGAAAAGAAGATTGCACGTTAAAAAGACAAAAAAGCGTTCCAAGTAGCATGCAGTCTGATAACAATAAGAAAATGTTTATTACAATTATATATTCAATATATAATTGAATTGTCCTCTGTCATCTTTTCTATTAGAGAACGATCATATAACGATAGAAATTTTATATATAAATATTACAACCAATTGTTCTCATAATTCAATAGGCCGTACTGTCTGAAAAGGTTCTCTATTCAATTTAAGTTACTTAACAGTTAATGGACTGGTATATTTTGTACGTCTGTGTAAAAAAAACACGTAAAAATACGTTTCCCGTCCATTAAGTGTTAATCGACAAATAATAACGAATAAAAGACTATACTGCCAAAAGGCAACTTTTTTTACCACACTCAGAAGGGCGATAATAGCTGAAAACCAGTTTGAACAACATCATGCTCCTAATCTGCTTATTTGTAATCTTTAACAACGCGCGCTTTTTTCTGTTTATCATCTCCACTCATCTATCAGTAGTAATTAATATCAGTTTTCTAAATACTCTATGGCATAAACTAAAGCATATCAAGAAATCTTTTTATTTGAAATTTTTTCTGTTTCAACAATACATAAGAATGAGTACAATAAAAGCTGATAATTTATTACGTTCATTAATTGAGTCTGGTCTTAGTCTTACGGATTTTGCCATATTGGCTACTAAGGCAATGAAAATTCAACGGGATTTTCGTTCAGCTAATGAAGAACGTCGAGAACGTGATCGAATTCAAAAACATTTAAAAATTCGTGAAAAACGTAAATTTGAACGTGAACTAAAAGAAGAAGAAGAACGTAGAATAAAAGGTTTGGCCAAATTATATGAATTTGGTTATGTTACATCGGATGATCTATTAACAACAATAGATAATAATAATTTAAGAACAACAAGAACAAATAAGTTTCAGATAGCAAGTGATGGTGATCGAACAGATGTTGAGAATAGTTTAATACCCTATTTAAAAGAAACAAATGACTTAAAAGCACATCAACGTGATTGTTGTCTCATATTTAACATTAACAATGATTTAAGACTAAATCAAGAGAAAATTGAACGTGCATGTCGACGAGCTAAACGAAATATTTATCAGTTGAGAGCAGATAGATTTAATCGACCAGAATATCGAACTATTTGCTCGGTAGAAACAGCAACATTATACAATAAGTTTAAAGAGGCCGTGAAAGAAGTAAATCATGTCATTTCTGACACGAGTATTCATCCAAAAGATAAACGTCATTTAAATGAGCTACTGACGTACATTAATCAATTGGAAGGTGACGTAGGATTATTAATGTGTAATCTACAATATGAACCAAAAGTGAAAGAAACAATTATATTTGCACCAGTCACAACTGATATTTTGGATAGAATGAATTTAATATTACATTATGTTCAAACATTAGCAGATAACATCAGTACCAATAGTTTTATGACAGAAGAAAAAGAAAAGTGAGTCTGTTTTACATAATTATTTTTCAGTGGTATTGGTTGATTGCGCTACAAACGTTTCTTTTTTTTCAGCGATGAGCGAGAATTGGATGAAGAAGGATCCAGAATACTAATTAAAGGTATTTAAGAGAATAATCAATTTTAAGTAGTATACATTCACATCTAACATACGATTTATAATATATTAGTAATAATAACAAGACACCAGTCCCTTACCTGATATGTAAATAGTATTGGACCAAATTTGTGTTTATCACTTTGAGAGTGTAAAACAAAACTTTTTACATATTTGAATTACAGTCAGAATTTCTTTTGTGTATGTTTATTGAATTGTCTCATGTATTTTCTCTCAAAAGGGTTATCCCCCTCTTAGAATAGAAGATCACTGTTGACAATTTATTCTAAGGTTCTCTCCGCCATTCTAGGTCCAAAATTGACTTGGATTGATTGATAGAAGACAATCATGATCTTCTATTCAGGAGGGGAAAGGAGTGAAGCACAATGATGTAAAATTAATGATATTCAGGCTAAAGCAATTGTCTCTGATAAAATTTAATAAAACATCACGCAAACGTTTGTGACAGCTAGACTTTTAGATAATACGGGCTTCAGATTTTCTTCTAAATAATTGAGAAATATTTAATAATAAGAATGATAATACATCGAATAATGAAGTATTTGTTCTGATGTAGATAGTGAGTATAGATGGACGGGTCTAGTGGTAATACTAGCGTCGTAGTGATAGACATTAACAACGTAACTGTTGTCTTAGAGTACATAACAAAAACAACTGAATAAAACAAAACAAATTAGAAGCAATATTAAGAATATTGATGAATGAAAACGATGTATACCTTATTGAGACAATAGTGAGTAATATGTACAATTGAAATGAGCTCAATTTTCTGATGATTATTAGATGTTGATACTGTATCCGGCAATGTTGATAAATATTTTGTCGATTTTGTACGTGTAAGTTACGTACAATTTTCATATGATGTTGGTTTTTTTTATATTATTTTACAAAATCATTTGTGTATGTATGAAAGAAAATAGATATTGAAAACCGTTTGTGAAAAACCTATTTAATCATCACTTCTCGCAAATTTCTTCCTTACATATTGATTATGTTCTGCACAAATGTCACAAAGATCACTATTTGGAAGGAGATAAAATCGTTCACCGTTTCTATCCTCTCCATTAATGTTGCATGAGACGTAATTCTATAATTTCAATCCTTACTGGCATCTACCGAATCAACATAATTTAGGCAAGATTTCATTAGAAAACGTCTATATTTAAGAATATGAAGAATAAAATGATTTAAATATCTTTTTATCTACGCCTAATTGATCTTGAAATAATTTGCTTTACAAAAAACGAAACCAGCATTTATTGTCAAATAGTTTTAATGAAAAGTTCTTAAAAAACCTTCGATAAAAATGACGTTTTTTCTGATCTGAACGGCAAAATTTTATTTAAATGATGAATATACTTTTCTTTCTGCTTAAAAATAAAAAGAAAAAAACGTCATTTTCTTTGCACGGTCCTGGAAAACACCCACAGGGTATGTGTTTTCTAGAATAGTTTTAAGTTAAGACTACTTGAAAAAATAAATGAGAATGCTTCGTTTCATATCGAAGAGTCTGGTCAGTTACACGAAGCTGGTGAAAGAGGAGTACTTTGCTAAAATGGTCTTCAAACTTTATTCTTACCTGATCTTTGTAGACACTTTGAACAAATAAAAACTATACTGTTCAGCAGGCGGTAAAAATACTCATTCGAATGTACTATTTTAAATTGACTTTAGCTTTTGTCCCCATGCAGAAGAATGCCTCAGAAAAAGGCTTTTTATCTCATTTCCGTTTCTTATCGAACCTCAGCTCTCCCCATATATGCATTTTGAATCTTTCTTCACATGCTGCTGTCAAATAGAACTTACGATTAAATTGTCGACGTTAACCTTCTTCGTTGTAAGAAAATCGATCGATACTGTTAGGGATTTTCATCAAAAAACGATAATATTAACCTTGCCCACGACGCCGTACCGATGTTTTTAAATTGTTTAAATGACATTTTCTTGATCAGAATCTCATAGGCTTTCTCTTAAGATGGATCGTGGAGTTTGCAAAAAAAAGTTGTGTAAAGTAGTGGATACTCCACGGAATACCTTACATATTTTCCTTTTTCCATCAGAAAACAAATCATTAACACATTGCAATTAGAAGTTGAATTTTATTTTTCAGACGCCATATCGGCTGTCAAAAGCTGCACTGAATCGATCAACATCTACTTTTCTAGACCCGTTACATGGTTCTAATCACAAAATGCAAGCAACTACTAATCAAACGTTATCATCATCACCTCTATTGTCAAGTTCATCAAAAATATTTAACAGTGACGGAGTTTATAAAGTTATTGTCAAAACCTCTAATAAAATGTTCGCCGGTACCGGTACGCTATTTACAATCAATTTTAATCACAATTGCAGCAATATCATTTTCTTTTTGTTTTTCTCGTTTTTATTTAGATGCATATGTAGACGTTCAATTAACGGGTGCAAATGGTACATCTAGTAAAATGCCACTTCTCCAGTCAGAGACAAATCAAGACCCGTTCGAACGTGACCATACTGATACGTTTACTATTGATGTAAAGCAAGATCTGGGAAAAGTAAGAGAGTACTTATATTGTTAAGAATACATCTTATCTATGATTGTCTGATTCGTAGATTGCAAAATTAACACTATCGATCGTGGGAGAAAATAAATCGGATAAATATGAATGTGAATGGATAGAAATTAATCATCGTACAACAAATAAAACTTACAGGCATGTAGATATACTTTGTACGTATTTGTACCTAATTTTTGTTTGTATTAAACAGATTTAATGTAAATGAGACGTTGGATGGTACTACTAAAACATCAATAACAATATCAAGTCCAAAAGAAATATCACAAATTACTTCGGTCACATTAAAAACAACAGGTCTCTCTAGTTCAATAACAAACATGGGAAAAAACGTAGTACAAAATATGGATGAAAAACTTCAAAGTAGGTGTGGAAATAAAATTTTTTATTAATAGTATTCAAACATTTATTCAAGATAAAACATCCAATAATTCAATTGTAAAATTACAAAAAGCAGGAAGACCACTGGATACTTCGTCTACAGTGTTGAACACTCCGAATCACTCAGGTACGACTGTGACGAGATAATCGTCTGCAGCAGATCATCACATGACAGATATTTTTACGTTTTAGTAATTGAAACAACCATCTATCAAGTTGCAGTGAAAATTGATGACTCATTTCTATCGAAAACGGACACCAAAGTTTACATTGAACTACATGGTGACAAGGGGAAATCTAAAAAAGTATCACTAGATAAATTTCAAACAAATACAAATGATTGTTAGTAACAATAGAACAACAGAAAACATCTTCACAAACCAATCAAAACATCCTTCATTTTTTCTATAGCATTCGAAAGAGGCAGAAATGGTGTGTTTAGCGTCCATATGCCAAATGTTGGAGCTGTTAGTCTCACCTTTTTGATTTCAAAATACTTTGAAATAAATATTTCTTTTAATTAAGTTAAAAAAAGTCACGTTGTCCATCGATGGCAAGCTACACAATCAATGGTTTGTAGATCATATTGAAATAACGCATCCAGCCAGTGATAGAACTTATCGAGGAAATATACAACAGAACCTTGGAGGTGATTCCAGACGAACAGAATTGACTGTTGATTTGGAAGAAATGCCTTCAAGTAAGCACAGAGTTGGTGTACAGTCAAATTGCTGTATTGCTCAACTATTTTTGAATTTTCTAGGAATTGGAAAACAGCAATCAACCAATACAATATCTGCAATAACTACCGTATCATCCAATTATACAGCATCTTCACAGGCTTCTGGATTGACAACAAAATTAGACAGAACTTTTGATACAAAACTACCATCGTCCGTTGTTCGTCAACTATCTTCGACATCAGTGGATGACACTGTAAAAGAGCAAGTTATTCCGCAACGAGCTGCCAGACAAGCATTTCTCAGAACAAGCAAATATGATGAGAAAATTCATTATAAAAAATTTTTCGATAGTTTATCGGCATCTGATAATGAAAATGATGACTTTGAACATAGAAATAGATTTTCTGCTGTCGACAAGCGGAAGGATAAAAAAAGATTGCAAAAGGATAACAGTGAACAGTATTCAATTTCGAGAGATGAATCAGAAACGATCAATTTTTATGAAACTCGAGACAAATCAAGACAAAAAAACAATCGAGATATTGAAATCAAGGAAAAGTTAGTATCTAAAGACAGTCCTCAAAACCTTGTTATTCGTCCAACTCAAGGACAATCTAGTCGAAAATCTAATCAGCAGCAAATTGAAAGTACGAATGAACGAGTTTTAACCGAGATGAAGAAACAAGGTCAATCAGTTCAAAAAGTTGATCGGTCGGAAAATTTGATACCGACTGTAATTGAAACGAATATTAATCAAGTTTCATTCCATCCACTGCAAACAAGTAAAGGATTATTGACGGACACTACAAATTCTGATGCTGTTATACTCGAACGAAGAGAAATAGCGGCTGAAGCGAAACAACGACAAGTCGCTGAAAAATCAGAAAATACAAGTGATAATAAGTTGATTATGTTTCCACACTCACTCCTCCCAGTACATAATAGTGATGTTGGACAAGGAAATAAAACAAGCCGTTCACGTAAGAATATATCTCAGACTATTACAAATGATGCAAAAACTTTTTCTTTCTTTTTAGCTTCTTGGTTTCCATCCAATACGTCAGGACAATTGAGCTATCCAAAAGAAGAATCAATCATTCCATCCAATACAGATAAGATTACACAACAAAATATAGCAAGGTTTAGAGTTTCCAGTTCTCTCACACGACAACAAAAAAATGTAGTATCGTCAAAACGAAGGAGCTATGGATCGAGCACCGTTTCTCCCCAACTTGTCGATTTAGCAACACAACCAAATACTAACACATCTAAAGTGTCTTCCACATCACAACGACAAAATGAGAAGATGTCAGTAACTAGCACTTTTTCCACACCCGTGCTCGGTTTACTAACAGATGAACCAAGTACAACTATATCTAACACATCAAGCTATTCTAGCATTACTTCAAAAGTATCTAATTTTACGACACCAGAATCCACCATCACTTCTTCAAAAATAAGTGGAGACACAACAACTCAATCTTCGGCTAGTCAAGCCAATTTAAAACTGAACTCTACAGCAGCTCATTCATCGAAAATTGTCACCTCAATCGAAAAACAAATGCAAAGGCCCTCTGATTATACGAAAACCAACAAAACTAGTAATCAAAGGTCAAATGTAACCGATGGAAAAAGTATAAATCAAAAAGTTCGATCAACAACGAGTGAATACAGTGATAATGATCTAAAATTTGTCAAACAACAACAAACTGACATTCTAACTTCACCAATCGCAGCTGATACCACAAGTCAAATAGTAACTACTAATCATCCTAGAAATGATCAAGAACAACAGTCAGTAACTATAAAGACAAGTGCTGCGAATTCCGATAATGATGACAAATCAATGAGTAGTAGACAAACTGATACATCGGAAGCTAGTGGTTTGAGTGGCAATATGCTATCACCAGACAGTGCTAAAAAATTTCGTAAACGGAAAAGAAATCGTCGACAGCAACAAAGTAAACAATCATCGTTAACAGAACAAAGAGATGAATTAGTTAAAATGGCTGATGATATAGAGACATTCAATCGAGATCAATCGACGACCAAGTCAAGTATAATCAGCAGTAAAACGAATAGTCATGAACAATTAGCCGTTCACAGTAGTCGAATTTTTTCAAGCGATAATCGCACAAAACAGAGTATACAAAACACGGAAGAACAAGATCGAAGATTAGTCGCTAGTCGAATCAATACAGCAGATTCAGATAATTATATGGTTAAAGAACAATCTCGACCACAGTTTGCTGCTCGCTCGCATACAAAAGATACTATTGATCGACTGAGAGAGAGAGAGTCATTTAGTTTCAGTAAGTCTGAAAAATCGAATATCAATGATACTGTTGAACGAGCAAAACGTTTAGCAATCACTACGACAAATAATAAACGTCGTGAGTTCCATTACACATAATAGTTCTGTTTATTCCATCATTGATTTCACCCTGTTGTGTCTTTTTCTCTATAGCAAATTATATAATTGAGGTGAAAACTGGCACTAACGGATTGAAAGACAAAGATAAAAAACACGTGTATTTACAACTGCTCGATAATAAAAATCGTACAACCGATGAAATTAAAATAATACCGCTTAATGGGGATGCTTTTGGAAAAAGAAAAGTCAATTATTTCAACGTGCGAGTACAACCTTATTTGGATCAGGTAAAACAAGAAAATGTCTTCTTTTCAACTTTTTGATAATTTTTTTCAATTAAAAAAGGTTGATAACATTCGATTATGGTATACTGGTGGTAACAAGAAGGATATTTGGTCAATCGATTATGTAAATGTTTCGAATATATTAACAGGAGTAAAAAAGAGGTAACTTTAGCTTTTGTGGCGTGTTTGTCCGCAGTATATAGTCAATAAAAATAATATTTATCATTATATGTTAGATTTACCACAAAATATTCATTAAAATCAGACTCAAAAGTTGAATTTATCAATGAGAGTGATTATCACGGTAAGAATTCAAATTATCGAATGATTCTTCGAATCAACATGATGTGTTTTTTAGATGATGATTTTTACTATTTAATTCATTTGGCATCGAAAGATACCGATTTTAATGGAAAACCGGTTGATGCATACATTCAATTGATTGGTAACAAGAGCACAACTGACGTAATTAAAATACAAATAGCACCTCGAAAAAAAAAGAATGTACAATTTGTTGATCAAATTAAATCACTACAAAGAAAAGATATTGGATCGGTAATCTTACTGAAAATTTTCATCGTCATCGAACATAATAATGCTGGCAACCAAATACTATTACTATGATAACATTGCTCATCACTCTTTATCAATGCCACTAACATACGAAAATAACTTATGTAGTGGGATTGGATCACATTCATTAAAAAAACGTTCATTAAGGCGTTTTTTCTTAATGAAAATACCGGAACTATCATTAAAATGTTTCTTGCAAAGTAACTGTGACCTGGAGTTTTTGATGCACAAGAATTTCATTAAAAATTTTAATGAACTTCCTTTTAATGAAAGTTTTTTAATGAAATCATGTAGAGATGTGCAAGATAATAATTTCTTTTAGTCCTTCTTCTAGGAAGAAATTCTTACAACTTTTCTTTTTTCATATTTCACTCCTAAGCCAAGACTTCACAACATCTGTATAAAATTCCTTCTATAAAGTATACACTGACCTTATCCCATAGAAATTTTGAAAGCCGTTACCCTACTTGGCCACGATCAAATCCTAGATTAGCCTGCAAAGTAGGATAAAATAAGAGCGCATTGGACATCAGTAAGTCTGCCAATGCTGATTTCGAGTTTTACTAATGCCATATTGGATTTTCTTGTACAGCAATGCCTCTTATTCACTTGTAGATAAATAGCGTAAAAATTTGGCATAATGATAAGAAAAATGTTAAACAATGGAATTTAGATAAAATCGATATTTACGATAATAGGCAACATGAATTTATCAGGTAAAATCAAAATGATACTATAGAATATTTAGAAAATGATAAGTAAAATGACATTCATTGTAGTTTTAATATAAAACGTCACCTCGATACGAAGCATGATGATAAAAAAACAGACATAACATTACAAGTATCTTCACGAGAAAATTTACCAAGTAAACGATTCATCGTATATTTAAAAAAAATGAGAAGTAATCATATGTTTCTTATAGAACAAAATTCATCAATTAGTATTTCAAATATTTTAACCACAACATTATCCGAGGATGAACGAAACGACATAAACGAAGTATTGCCCATAAGTAATTGGTTAGAATTACGTGATCGGTCACCATCAAATAATAGTGCAACAAGACCGCAATCTGCTACAAACAGAAGTCATTCGGAAAAAACAACTATGATCCAATTTGAAAATCAAAAGCAACAATTAATATCACGCACACAACGTAACGATGATGAGAACTGAATATCAATCACTACTACTGAAAGAATAACAAACACACACAAACGTGATACAAATAGTAAATGAAGATGATGGAGATTATTATCAAGTAATATCGAAAAATAGTAAAATTAAAAAATGAATGAAACATTGCAAATGATATCAAACATTCCCTACACCTCATCTCTTCAGACGTTCATTAAAGAAAAAACACGAATTGATAGATTTTTTTATCGTCATCTCAGAGATTGATTTACAAATTTAGATACATCTGTTTATGTAAAATTTTTTGAAACAAAATAAGAAAGTTTCTGCTTTTGGATAATTTGAACAACGATCCCAATTCATTTGAGGAAAGGCATCGTCCGATCTCTTATCTAAATATACTCGAGAATATTGACATTGTAAGTACTTTGTGGGCACTGTAAAACGTGAAACTAAATTCTACAGTTTATATAGATTGATAAAATGCAGATTGCAATTACACTGACCGAAATATACATGATATATTAAATACTCAAGCACAAGACTGAAAAACAATGGACACAATAATTGAGTCTAATTTGAGAAAAAAAACGTAAGGATTATAAGTTATTACCCATACTTTATATCTGAACAATCATCAATGTTTTAAAGCTTAGAGAGATCGAAAGACTTAACTAAATCTATTAAACATTACTATACTGCGGTTTGGCTGAGAAATATTGTTTATAACAGTAAATATGTCTGAATAGATCTTCTACTGAGACCAACATAGATCTGTTTAATGGTACCTTTCATCAGTCGAAAGTGTAATAGGTCAAAAATCACACTCTTCAGATTATGGCATCATGCATATCACAAATATCATATACAGTCTACAGGATAAGATTGTTGTATGCTATTCATCGTGTTTAAACTCATTATACAGACTTGAAAAATTGTGTTTTTAATCCTACACAATTTCTTTTCTGAAAACAATGTAACAACAACGTATCATTGTTTAACAAAAAAGTAAACGATTCTGTTCCAGTAATACAAAAAACATTTCATACAGTTCGCTTTACTTGAGAAAAACAAAACAAAAGTGAACTACAAGAATCGAAAAGTCTTTAGTTTATATCTGGACAAGAAAATAAATCACACGACATCTGTTTCGATATGTTTCTTATTTGCCACTTCTGCAAAAAAAAGCAAATCATATCTGATTATCGACAACCGAGTAAACCAACAATATGTGGATATTAATCCAACTCCCTACCTAAGTCATCGTCTTGATATGGTCGTTTTCGTCCATAATCAATATTTGTCTCCGATTTAAAAACTTCCATATCAAGTATTTTGTAAATTTGTCCAAATACCATCATTCTTAAGGCGAGCTAGAATAAGGTAGCAAAACTATGTAGACTTAGAGCCTTTCCACTATTGCAAATCTATTTCGTTTTCTTTTCTATGAGTTGTTTCTAAAGGTGTAAATACTTGATTTAAGCGGAAAAATGATTTTTTTTCTGTATACCTGTGCTGTATACGTTATATCTTCTTTTTGCTGAATAGTTAGACAATCCAGTGCATTTTTTGGTTCATTTTGACACGGATTCAATAGACCTGGACCATCTACAGAAAAAAACAAGAATGAAAACAATTCATTTCTTGATTTGTATCTATTTAATCTGCTAACCTGGTAATAATAAACCGGACGATAAACATTCCAATGTATATCTAAATATTGAACCTATTGTCATTGGTTGTTGTTGATTGTGTGTTGCACTTATTATACGTTCGACAATAAGTTCGATCACCTAATAAACACATGTCGTATTTGTAAACGATACAAATAATAACAATAAAAAAAATTTTCACTCACTTCATATTTCAATGATGCCCATAAAACTGATGTTTCCATCAAATAACGAAAAATTCTTATGATTGTAGTAGCATGTTGTAGATGACTGACGTATGTCTGTGAATAGAGAAAAACAATAGATGGTTTTGTTGTAATTGCATACTAGAAATAGATAAACTAACATCAAAATAATTTCTAGAAAAATAAATCGTCATCAAAACTAAGACTAATACGTCAAAAATTAAAAATCATGGGCGCAAAAAACATGATCATATTTTACGAATGATTACTTAGTTTTAGAAAACAAATGCTACTAACATTCTTTAAGATGAAAAATGTATAGTTACTTCGTACATAACTAAAAATTAAAGTAATAAAATCTATCCTCAGCACATGTACATTGGCACAAGTTTTATCCTTATGTAATAATAAAACAATTGTGCCATGATACCAAGATTGACAAATGATGAAAAGCTTTTTAAGGAAAATTCACTAACGCTCTAAATCTTACCACAGACTTCGAATTTATTATTAATTTTCCTACTTTTCCTAGATTCTCACATCTTTTGAAAACATATTTACAAACTGAATAACTTCAATCATCAAACAGTTACTGAATAAAATTCAGCAACTAAAAAAATCAAAAAAAATTCAAAACAAGCACGTAGCCAAATTCATCGCTATTGTCAACATTCTTTATGTAAAACAAAACTTTTCTCAGTGCAAAGACAAAAGAATATGGAAACTCTTTCTTTCTCGAATAATACAGTCTAAAGCTCTAAAAGGGTATTGGCTAAGTGCTTATCTATCACCATATTTATAAAATTGCTTTAGTTAAATGTGAAAAAACAAACGTGTCATCTTCTTAAGACTAAACACATTTTTTTTTGTTACTATTATTGAATGGCATGTAGAATAAACAACCAAAAAGAAAACAACACGATTTTGTTTTTTCATTCTACCTGAAATCATCTTGCAGAATGCAAGGTACATAATGAATCCAAACATTTCTTTGATAATAGATGAGATGATGACGTATTGGTCAAATGTGATGATATTAGATTCAATGACGATTCTGAAACGTAGATCAGTATGTATGTTTTCATTTTTTTTTTACTCTTCACATACTTCTATGGGACAAAGAATGTGAATAAAGAATATAATTTTTAACCTTATATGCTAGTCTACGACGTCGACCTTTGAGATGCATATCTTTGGCATTTGGATCGTTAAATTTGCAATCACACAATTTACATGACCGTTTTTGTGCCATCATTACTCGTTTCAATATATTCAATACCAACTGGTTTTACATTGTTCATTTCTAATAATTTTGCTAAATACACTACTGTTATCTTCACTTTTTACATCTAAAGAACGAAAAACATAACAATATCATTTAAGCTGAAATATAGAAGAATCCCACTTACTATTTTGCGTATTGTACTGTTGTTGTTCGATAGCTACCATTTCTGAATTCACAGACTGAACTGTCTGCTGAGTATCTGAAAGCAAAATAATATACTTATTTATCGAAAATAATGTATCTAGATGTCTATATACCTATCGAGGATAATTTAACAATAAATTTTGACTTGGCTTGAATCACTGTTGGTGATGTTGCATCAATATCGGGTTTACTAACTGAAATAGTGCTACTTAATATTTATGGTTCAGACGATGGAATTGGTTTGCCCAATTTCTGATGTAATTTGAGAGCTTTTTGATGTTTTGATCCATCTATATAAGTTTTGTAAGCGTCAGCTGCCGTACACGTGACACCGCATAGTTCACAACGTAAGACATTGACACCAGGTTTAGTACTTATATTTCTCATTTCTTGATTTGATTTTGATGCCTGCTCTTTTCTCTTATGTTTAGATCCATTAATATGCTCTTGAAACGTTTGTTGTCCACCGCACGATATTCGACAAATTTCACAGTAATGTAGCTGTGTATTTGCATTATTTGACGACTGTTGATGACGCTTTTTAAGTTCTGTTCATTAGCCCGTTGATTTTGTCCATCACCTGTATACATCCATCTGGGCCCCCTATCAGAGATTGGCATAGATAGCTGTGATTCAGGCGTGTTTTTTACTAATTCTGCAGCTGCTATTTGAAGGGCCGTATCATAGCCTATAGGAAATGTAAGAAATGATATTAATCTCACTAATGAAAATAAGAAAGATACGAACTGTTTATTTGGCCAGTTGGTTGAGAATACTGCGCCTCATACGATGGATAAACAGGATATTCGTAAGATGTTCGTGAATTTGATTCTGACGAAGGAAGTAATGGTGGCTTAAAAAACAATAGAAAAAGTGAAAATTAATATTCAAAATCAGAATCGGAAAAATGTTAATTACCCGTGTTCCCATGTATCCATAGGAAGATATTGTATTGTAACCATATTCCGGTCGTGAAGCATAAAATGCTTGTGCTTGTTGCGTCATATACGAGTATGGGCTAAAATAAAATAGAAGTTTGCATTACAAATAAACAAGAAAGCAATTTTTAATTACCTGTAAACATAACTGTTAGATATCTTTGATGTTGATATATTTTTACTGATACATGCTAATACGATCTATCTATAAAGTAAATGAACGTAAGATATCATTTGAATAAAATAAATAAAGTCCAAAACTATGTTAGACTAACTATAAAAATAAATAGAATTTGCAAACTGATAAAAATAAAATCATCTATATTTTACTCTTCATCTCCTTATCATTTAACAATCATAAAAACAACAGGGATTAAGAAGAAATTATTGATTTTCGTTACGTTCAACATCTGGTCATATCATTAATACCGGCAAAATACTGCTCGGTTACCACCCAATATACTGTGAGGTATACCGCCATGGAAGACGAAATTACCGCACGGTTTACCAAACCATGTGGTAGACCAGTAGTATACCAACCGGTAACCATTCGGTATTTTCTTATCATGAACACGCAGGACGCGAGTTCGAAACTAGTTTCTAACTTTCTTTTTTTTATTATTAAAGCACATGAAGGCCCCAGTATTGGGAGAAAATTTGACTCGATAAAAGTTGAAAAAAAGTTGGAATTCCATTATTAAAAAAGTTAATCTGAAAAAACTCAAGTTCTTTGAAATTTTCTGTTTCTTTTATACCTTCACCGATGTAAAACAAAAGGGTGAATGGATAAACACGATTACTGCACGATATTCTTTTAGACTGCGGTAGTTTTAAACGGCGGTATTTTAAAAAAAATCTCGAGATGGACATATTGTTACACATTTTTCTTCTAGACCAAAAACATAATAAAACATAATTTGAAATTGTAAATCTAGCCCAAGAATATTCATTATAATATATCAGTTTTATTTTTTATACGATACTAAATGAAAGATTTGTACTTGTAAATGGCCGTATTTAGATGGCTGTCAAATGAAACAGAAACCTGATAATTAAATGCATTATTATGATCAGAGGTGACCATATAGAGACGGGTCTTACTGTGACGATGTTTTTAGAACGTTTATCTCTGCAAGAAGCAATAACTTTATTAAAAATATTCGATTTTTTTTTTTATAGTAGCTACAATTCATGAAGTAATACAAAAAAAAATAAATAGAAGAGTCCGTAGATTTTAAGGGCATAAGAAGCCCCAAATTCCGAGAAGTATCGAAACTTTTGTGTCCGCGCTAAATTTTTCGATTTCAAGTTTCAAAAATGACTTCAGTTCATGTCACAAACATCAATCCGTGTCAATAATAGCAATTTTTTAACAACAAATCAATGATGAAATCAAATCAGAAAAAAAAAACAAGTGTTTTACATAAACAACGGTAGAATCAGTAACTTTCTCGTCATTAGTTTCAAGTGTATTGGTCTTTACCTGATAAAAAGAAATCATTTATTATATTAGAGCACTAGCAAATAAGGAGATATCAATATCTCTTTTCACATAACATAAGATATCTCGTATGCGAACATTTTTTCGTCCAAGCGCGTCGGTTGAAACGAAAGAGAACAGAAAGATATGCATGTGCGAAAAGAGATATCGCCGTATTTGCTAGTGCTCTATTGCATTTTAAACAGCAAAACATACCACAAAGGAACGAGGACACCTTTGATATTGGGTTGATGATCTTCTTTCTCTATACATTAGAACTGTATTTCCGATGCACTCTCACTACCCGCTGCCAATTCAAAGTCATGTTTCAGCCAGAAGTTGTCAATTGTTCCTTGCATTTGAGTTTCAATTCTAACAATTCATTTCCATACTGGTCAAAACTAGGCATCTATAAATTTTATACATAAATCTTTACTATCGCCATAAAATTCCAAATTTCATGTTGATAGTAGGGATTTATGGACAAAATTTAGAGATACCTAATTCTGACCTTCCATACTTTCCTTTCGGCAGCCATCTTGGATCTTCTTTGCACTGTTTCTTACTTAGAGCTTGTTTTTACTTTTCATAGGTCTGGCACAATATCCAATGGCAAATATAATGCTGGATATAAAAATATAATCTACCGTGCTTTAACTTTATTATATTACATTATATTGTCCGATGAATCTGTTTCTATATGCAAGTTCAACCTATCGAGAATAATAAATATCTCCGTACTTATAGCAGAGCCGAAAAATAAATAAAAACAGGAAACGAAATCTTATTATTAATTCTTGTATAAATTCAAAACTTTCACCCGATAAATTTCACCAAAGATAGTCTACATATTATAACTGTCCATCCGAGTATACGTTCATCTCTAATTATTTTTTGTTTCGCCTAGTAAATGTATATGCCTGTTTCGCGAACGATACGATTTTTTGTAGATCGTCTATGAGAAATATTGACAAATGTAGTCATGATCATTTCCGTACTGCGTCTTCGAAACTCTGTTCAAATGTATGTTTCTTATCACTTTTACAATTGACAAATAGATCTGACTCTGAATCATTCATTTATATTTAAGAAAATGTATCGATGAACAAAATCCTCTTCAATCTCATTTTCTAACCGATTAATATCTTGGATAGCTTTCTTTGACAAAATACATACTCATTAATTAGAAAAAGCTTTCTTCTTTTACGGTAGCTACTTTATCGTTCAGTGGTCACAGTGATAATTTCAGATTGGATGTTTCGTAGTTTAAGGGATACGACAGCTAGACTAGTGAGTACTAATCATAAATTTGTGAACATATATGACTGATAATTGTCGAAACGAACTAGTGTTATGTTCGCTTGTCTAAAAACTCAATGCCTTAGTGTTTCTTATACGCGTAATAAAATTTCAACTGTGTTCATAGTGCTTAACAATCAACCTTATTTTTATTTTCGTTGTTCTAAACGCCTGCTATTTGTTATACGTTTGCATGAGAATATTTCTTCTTTAAATAGCGACACTTTACTATGTTCATTAGGCTATGCGTATATCCGGAAAGAAAGTTTTCACATTTTTGCCCGCTAGGGCAGTACTGACAATCGTTTTTAGTAATAATGACTATTCACGCATGCATAGTACTAATAGAATTATTCACCATCATATTAGTTTAGTTTTATCGTCATCATTATTTTTTAATTTAATATTTATTCATTCATTTTTGTTCTATGTATGCACGAAAATTTTTAACCACACGTTGTTTTCGTCATCAATTAGGTAAATATAAAATTAATCTTGTTTCATTTATTTTAATTTAAAATATTTTAATGTTTAGAATTATTAAATAATTTTTATCAACGACCAAATCAACGACCAAGTTTTACACAAGTACAATTAAGAAAATTTTCATTATCTAATGCCATTCATACACGTTCAGGAAGTTCTTATACATCGAGAGATATTAACCAAACGTCAAAAAGTATGTATTAAGAAAATTTTCTTACTATTTTTTTGTAACAGGAGAAACATTAACGTTTAGTTTCATTACATAATTTATCTGGATGTGCTCACTATATTTTGAGAAACCAATACGTTGATATTGAAATCTTGAATAGATGATATTAGAAGAGAATGACGGCTCGGCAGAAAATCAACACGTCTGCACATTTCTTTCTTGAGTTGAAAATTTTGGATATCAAATCTAATTTAATTTTGAATTTAATTTTTCTATGGTCTTATCTCACTGTGTTTATCCGTCTTTTTTGTTTCTAGGTAATGATGGTTCTGGGGGAAAATTGACTTTTATTTGTCCAAAATGTGGAGATATTTGTTCTCATGTAGAATCACTTGTCTGTATGTATATAAATTTTTATTAAAGTATGTATTATTCAATCTCTTGTTTACTTTTTAGCTTCAACACGTTTTGTAAAATGTGGAAAATGTAGTCATTTTTTTGTGGTGCTATCCGACAGTGATCCAACCAAAAAAGTGAAAGATGAGAAAAAAGTCAAACAAAAGCCTCCACCTCCACCGAAAAAGGTAAAAAAAGCTATAGCATTTATTCCTGATAGCCTGTATTGCTTTGTCTCCTGACAATACTTTGTCCTCTTTCGTTCTCTACATGATTAGTTTACGTTAAAGAGATGTATTAACTTCGTTCTTTTTATAGATTTTTGAATTTTTGAATAAATATATTATCGGACAGGACCATGCAAAGAAAGTTATGGCTGTAGCAGTAAGAAAAGTTCAATAAAAAAACAAAAACAGATATTTTCTGACATGATTAATGTTTACCTTCTAGGTCTATAATCATTACAAACGTTTAAATAATAATCTTTATTCATCAGCAGCTAAACAAGAACAACATAAAGAACAAATACCAATACAACAAAATTCAATTGAAAGTACAGGTCTAACCAGTATTTCACCACAACGAAGTAAGAGAGCATTCTTTAATGTTATTTTTATTGTTTTGTTTATCTTTTTTTTTAAATAATTTTGTTTGAAAAGACAACGTACTATTAGTAGACTTTTTATTTTATTTTTTTTTAAATTAGTAATACTCAATGTTGGCATACCGTTTTATCATATCGGTTCAATACAAGATGGTGGTACACATCTAGGCTCATCGCCATCTGCGTCAAATTCGGATTCATCGTTTTCATCATCGACAAGCGAAGAAATGAAACATGGTAGTGATATTTTAAATGCCGAACAACAGGATATCAAACTAGAAAAAAGCAATATATTGATGTTAGGACCAACTGGAAGTGGTAATATTTTATTATCTATTGTGTTTAAAAACAATTAAAGCGTGTACATTTTGTTTTCCTTTTTGTTTTCAGGCAAAACATTACTCGCACAAACTATAGCCAAATGTTTAGATGTGCCATTTGCAATATGTGATTGTACAACGCTTACTCAAGCAGGTACGTATATTTTGTTTCCTTCTTTGAATTAATGTAACTATAATTAATATTATCACTTTAATAGGTTATGTTGGTGAGGATGTTGAATCGGTAATTGGTAAATTATTACAAGATGCAAATTATAACATCGAAAGATGTCAACAAGGTTAACAAACAACTTTCTATTATTATTTAGGAAATTTTTATCCGTTGTTTATTGTTTAGGAATTGTATTTTTGGATGAAGTTGATAAAATTGGATCAGTCCCGGGAATACATCAACTACGTGACGTTGGTGGTGAAGGAGTGCAGCAGGTACTATTTGCAGGCTTTTCTTCGCAAATGATCAAATTTTAAACTAATTTGTTTTTCGATTGTAGGCTTTACTGAAAATGCTTGAAGGAACAATGTAAGTATTCGCTTGTAATACTATCGCACGATAAGTGTAGAAATCATTCATACGGTAAGAAAAATTCTCTTGTTGGAGCATTTACTCTAACGAGGAAAATAAAAGTTCAACATACAATTCTATAGAGAGATGAAGAGCGTTTATCTCTCATGGAGTAGAGACGTGTAAAACACAATCATGTACATTTTAGTGTTTTTAACTAAAAAATAGTTCACGGTAGCTAACACATTTTGCAGTAAATTTAGTCGGCTATAAACATGCCATATTGAAAAAATTTTAAATGAACATTTGAGAGTCAAAAAAAGTAATCTACATAAATATTGTGAGTACTCATTTTTAGAAAACCTTAAAACAATACTAAAAATAACTATAAAAAGAACTTATCTAACTTGTTTCCTTTTTGAAAAAAATCTTCACATCAGAAAACTTTTCTTATCATCTGGATAATTTCTGTATTTACTGTATGTGCTTGAAGTCGCTATTATCAACGTTTTGATGTTAGATCGGTTAATGACTCATATTGTATTTGATTATTATAGTGTTAATGTTCCTGAACGAAGTTCGAGAAAAATGCGTGGTGAAACGGTACAAGTTGACACAACTAACATCTTATTTGTTGCATCGGGTGCATACACAGGACTCGATCGTATAATTAGTCGTCGAAAGAGGGAAAAAGTATCTCATACAAGGCTATTTTTACATTATATATACATCTTATGTCTATTCTGCTTTAATCTAGTATCTTGGATTTGGTTCAACATCAAGTAATGAATTACCATCGAGACGACGTGCCGCACAATTGGAGTTACATGAACAACGAAGTGATAATATTCTATTAGATGAAGAAAATCAAGAACGTGATCGTTTCCTTCAAGAATGTGAAGCTCGAGATTTAATTGACTTTGGAATGATACCTGAATTTGTCGGAAGGTAAAAAGAAAATCTTCAATTACTGTCACTATTATTTTAATTTTATTCTTTTAAAGACTTCCTGTAATCGTAGCATTTCATACTCTCAGTGAAGATATGCTTGTAAGAATATTAACTGAACCAAGAAATGCTTACATACCACAATATCAAACTCTATTTAGCATGGATAAAGTATGCATCAGAAAAAAACATAATATTTTTGTTTTTTATTTAATCTTTTGTTTTGTTTAGGTACAGCTAGATTTTACTGATGGAGCACTAAAAGAAATAGCAAAAAAAGCTGTACAACGCAAAACTGGTGCTCGTGGATTACGTTCGATTTTGGTATGGAAATCGTTTTCTTTAGAAAAAAAATATTAACGATCATGTTTATTTTTAGGAACGAATTTTACTTGAGCCAATGTTTGACATACCTGAATCAGATATTGTTGGTGTACGAATTGACGAAGAAACTGTTAGTTCTAAAAAAGAACCAGAATACATTTATTCGAGAACGACATCGGACGACAGACAAATGGCGTATTCTGCCAGCAGTGAGGAAGAAAAAATTTCAATTCCAACCGGTTAAATAAGGATTTTGTTTAGTATCTGTGTGTGTATATGTGTGTTCTTAAAGAACGATGTTGCTTTGCTTTTTTTTTTTGATTTTGTTACGCCAATTTTTTCCGTCTTTCGTTTTTTATTATTTATTACTTTAATATTTAATTCTATAAATAAAACTCTATTTTTTTTCTTCATCTCATTAAAAAAAAGCCAACTGAACACCAGTGATTGTTGCTCATTTTTAAATACAGAAAAAGTCTTTTTTCAGTTTTGATTTCAACGTAGCATCATTTGAAGGATTTGACTCGAGTTGTTATTAAGTTATATATTATTGTTGTTTTTGTACATAACAGTCAACTGGTTTTACTTTTGTTTTGTTTTTCCGTTGTGCTAATATTCCTTTTTCTGGCTGATTTTTTTTGCTTGTTTTTTGATATAATCATAAAGACAAATAAAAAACAAAGAAGACAATCATATGCATTATAGTTTATAATTTTTAACAAAACTTTTTCTTTTGATTATTCGATATATAATTTCGATATTTGACGTATGGTGACTAACCGTAGATTGAATTAGTAACCATTCTTTTTCCTGAGCGATTATTTTTCTTAAAGATATTCAATTTTAGGAAGATCGCTAGTATTACAATGCAATCTTAAGCCAAAGCATGACTAAATAGTTTTTTCTGATATCGAGTATCCATCTATGGTTGACTTATCTGTGTTTTAACTTGAATTATTCATATAAATCATAGCATTCGAAGTTTTAATTAATTTTTTCTTAATCGATTTGTATTATACCTTTTGTGAAAACTTTTAGGGTTTTCCTCAGTTAGAAGAAAAAACAAAGTTTTAAGTTTAAAGAGGTTTTTGAGGCAAAATGGTTGATTTTGTACTTTCTGTTATCCACTCCTCCTTACGGGCTGACGGACGAAAAGTGCCAGATATTCTTAAAAGACGTACGACAATAATCGAGTTTTTGCGTTCTCTATGTGTAAAAATGATGAAAAAAACACATCGTTTTAATAAAATTTCGTTCTTCAAAAATAGAGAACGAAAAAATGATAAATTTTCTCGTACATTTTTCTAAGAACATCACTATGTTACCATTCATTATGTTTATTATGCTCTGCGTATGCCTAGGAAGAAAGTTTTCACATTTTTACTCGCTATGATAACACTGACAAGCTTTTTATGTTCAATTTATTATACAATAATATTATGAAAATCTATCATATATCGTATTACTTTTTAAACAGAAAAAAACAAACAACACATAAAAAACGTTAGGTTTAATCTGCTATATTGTCGATATTCTGACTGCTTTTCATATTTATAGAGCTGGACAAGCCACACTTGACGAGTAATCACATCGACCCAAAAAGAAATTATACCGTAGGCCTCGAGGACAGGTACGGCTTGTAATGATTGCTGAAATTAGAGATAAAGTACGGAATATGCATTGGAAAATAGTAAAACCATGATATCACTCAATTTACCCGTTTCAACACATTCAAAATATTTTCCTTGTGCACAACCATAGGGGTCAGCAAAACATCCGTTGGATGGACAGCGGAAGTATTCTAAACAGACGGATTAAGTTAACCTAACATCTTAATCTTTAACGAAAGATATCTTCAAAAATGACCTGCTTCACATCGTTGTCCTGTAAATCCAGGTCTTAAATAGAAATAAAAATAATGTTAATTACAAAATATAATATGAAATAAGGTCTATATATTACCTGCACAAACAATAAGCAAATATAGTTGATGCTGGAGAATGTTCATAGCATGTACCACTGTTTAAACATTGCAGTGTCGAACAGGTTGACGCACCTAAATTTTATATTAGATTCAAAAGTTATTGATTCAATAGATTATTAAAAAAAATGTTTTTATCTAACCTGATCGCCTTTCACAAAAATCCCCATCAAAACCAAGTAGACTAAATTTGAAATTGTATTTTTTCAAAAGTTATAGTCAACAAAATTCTTACGCTTACCACCAACACGTTGCATAACCGGGACTAATTACGTTACATCTAAAATTACAGAAGAACATGAAGTGAGATTAATCTTATTTTTGAAAACAATCAGTCTTACACTCCACCATTTCTGCATGTAACATCACGACACAAATCTGTTGCTGTAAATGCAAATATAATGAATATAACGAAAAAAAAGTGAACATTTCATTTCAACATACAGCTGGATATTTCACATTGTGAACCAGAATAACCGCTCGGACAGACACAAGTTCCGGTTACTTGATTACAGACACCTTCGTTGAGACAGCCACAATAGGGTTCTAGAAGTCGATTTACAAGAATTAGATTTTGAATAAATTTTGTAGATGAGTTCTCTTTTTTCGCTCAAGACATACGAATAACACTTGTTAAGCAATTTTCGCCAATAGTTCCATCAGGACAAACGCATGCAAACGTTGCATCTGTACAGAACCAATATACCATATTTAGAACAGAATTAGTTATGCATATAAAACAAGTATTTACCTAATATAATACATATTCCAACTTGTCCACAAAATGTATGTTCACAAACAGCTATCAATCTTCGTGCTAAAAGTAACATTAATTTAGAGAATTTTATATAAGCATATTCAAACTTACACTGAATTCCTGTAGAATTTGCCAGTTGTATGCACGATGAATTACTGTAAGATCCATCCTGGCAGGCGCAAATATATGGCATATTAGGATTTTTGGTTTCTAAACATTTTCCACCCTGACAATCGAGTTCGCATTCTATATGAAGAGAGATTATGAAAAATTGCTAAGAGAAAATTGTTTCAAAGATATGAACAAACCAGAGTAAACTTGATCACAATAGAATGCCAGTAATAGAATAGTTATCACAGATAGACGTGCTTTGTACGTCATTTATTGAAACAAGATGACTCTAAACTTCAATAGAGTAAAATACCACTGTTAATGATATAAGCATAAAAGTAATAACAGAATTTCAGCAGTTTATTGGCAAACCTGCCGATGAAAGAGCTACGTCCCAAACTTAACGGTACGATAGATTATTCTCACTGTTTCAATTAAAAATTATATAAAAATTATAGAGATTAATTTGAGATGAAAACGTTAAAATGGCACTTACGTTTGTTTTCCAGATACAAAGTTAGCAAAATGAATTTATTAAACGGTTCGTTTCATTTAAAAGATTTACTGAAATATAATCAGTATGTGATATGAAAGTATCACAGGATGATTATAGATATGTCTAATCAAGGTAAAATGGATTAATTTCATTTATTCACAACAATGAGAATCGGTTTGTTATGTCGTATATATCAATAATAACAACAGATATATGATTCTCATAGAATAATCAGTCTACTTTGATATATTAGTTCATGTTTTGCGTAATGATGTTGATTTATTTTTTTCTATGTATATCATTATGTGATGCCGTTTACATGAATGAACAAAAAAACAACAAATTTCCTTCGGAATGAATTAAAGTTTCAGACGATGATTTATACAATTCAAGGATAAAAATGAAATAGAGACAAGTCTGTTTTTTTACGAAGAAAATTAAGAAACTATATATTTACGCAAAAAAAAGCCATCGAAATATATGGTACAAACAGATATTTTTTTTTTTAAAGCTGTGGACAGCCCACATTTTTCGCATAATCACAGGACATTTTCATCAAATTAAAACGTAATCCTTTGGGACAGTGACCAGCAATACGACGATCTAGAGAATAAATATACGTATCGTGTATTTATATTCAATATAGAAAGATACTATACGTACTAGCATAATCACATAAAAAGTAATAACCTTGTGCACATCCATAAGAATCAGCGAATGTACCGGGTTGTAAACATCGAAAATATTCTATAAACGAATTAATTCATACCGAGTGAAGAAATTTATTGGCAGGTCTTTATTAATCAATGAATCACGTATGATTGCAGCTGAACTATTCATATTTATAAACTTATTTAAGCTTTCGAATAAACTTTATTCATCATCAGAAAATACAACAAGTTATAAAATGTACCTATAGAATGCACTACATTTTATTTCTATAGTGGTACATTTTATAACTTGTTGTATTTTCTGATGATGAATAAAGTTTATTCGAAAGCTTAAATAAGTTTATAAATATGAATAGTTCAGCTGCAATCATACGTGATTCATTGAATTAATTCATGTTAGAAATCTTTTTTCACTGATTTCTCTCTTTACCTGTCTCACATCTCGCTCCTCTAAAACCCGGCGGACACACACAGTAAGCGAATGTTGAAGTACCAGGGCTATTCTCATAGCATGTACCGCCGTTCACACATTGCGTCTGGCTACATCTTGAAGCCGCTTAAAGAAAAAAACCGATCGAAATATGATTTATTAGAAAGAACATAATTTACCAGATTGTCTTTCGCAATATTCGCCGTGAAAGCCTAGAATAGAACAGTTAGAACACTGTCAAATTTATAGTAATCACAATGTACAGCTAATATACCTAGTAAACACCAACAAGTTGAATATGTTGTTGATAAGATGTTGCAGACACCACCATTTCTGCATGTGATATCGCACAAACTGTTAGCTGAAAAAGACATCATAAGGTAGAAGACAAAACATCAGTAAGCAAGGAATCTATTTAACTGTTAAGTTGTTCACATTGAACTCCAGATGTGCCACTTGGACAAACACACGTTCCTAAAACAGGATCACAAACTCCTTGGTTATAACAAGCGCATGCTCTCGTAGAAATATTTGTGTCTAGAATAAAAATGCAAAAATTACTTGAAATATAATGTGTTTCTAATCTGAAAACATTTTTTTAATATCATAATTGACTAAGCACTAACTTTGAGCCGATATTGTAATAAATACCACTGACAATAATAGCGCAAAAAGTATCCTGCAAATGCAAAAAGACAGTAGTTTGGTGTGATATACTTCTGGGAGTTGTGATCTACAAAAGCAAGAATTTGTCACCAAATGATAACGTCTAGTAAAATTCCTATGAGTTTCCTGACAGAATTCGAGACATATCCTACCAATATCCTACTAGAATTTCGCTTTAATTTCTTAAGATCCTAACAAATCTTACAGAATCCTAATGAAATCAGGTACATCCGAAAATCATAGGGTTTTCTAAGATTCTGTTAGGATCCTAAATAAACTTAAATAAAATACTAGTAGTATCCTAGCATTTTAGGATTCTGCTAGGAAGTTATTAAGTGGATTCTACATGTTAGGATCCTGTAAGATCCTTGTCGGAAATAGACAGGAAGTATGTAGGATTTTGTCTAGGGCCTATACAAGTGTCGTAGAACTATATTCTTTCAACAACATTTTGATGTACTTACTGGCAATACATAGCTTGGTCTACGATTGTTCTTGAAACTGAGAAATCAGATGAAACAAAGAGCTTTCAGTTTTAGAGAATTAAACCGTATGCTTGTTAGTCATGTGATGCAGTGAGTGTTTATGGCAGCATTTATGATGTTTTTGTGTATGATTGTTTTCGTATAGATTTTAGTATCATCTTACAATTACAGCAGCTCAACAATAACAGAAAAACAAATTATATCCCCGATGACGATCAAACTGGTTCGTTTTTTTGTTTTTAAACAAAATATCGTCCTAGCGAATAAGATTTTTGATCTCAAAATATTATAAATAGACAGCATGATTAACATTTTGCTTTAAAATTTTGAGAATTCGTGTTCATAAACTCTAAGCTAGTTTCCATCAATCAAGTACAAAAAAACGATATTTTGGGGTTTAGATTCTGAAGGTCAAATGTATGACACATTTTTGCAAAAAGGACCTTCGTTACAAATATCGAATTACTTGTTTTCGATTTGACTAATTCTTAATGTGTACAGAAGTTACGAAATAGGTTTAATAAATGTGTAAGGTGCACGTAATTCGAAATTTCCACACCATTTTATTCTTAATTCAAACACACATAGCTGGATAGTATGGAAGCCAAGGATCACGAATATAACCCTTTTTAACCTCTCTAGTCCACTTCTTCATGGAGAAAATTTCAAAACATTGTGAGGTGCTCAGTTTCTGAAAAATCACAACTTTTCAAAACAAAATGCAATATCTCACTCCCGGAGAACTTTGGAAGGCCAGCGAGGTAATATTCGGAATCAGTGTGAAAAACTGAATACAGAACGCTACCTTTTATGATTCCAGCTCTACACTGCGACTTTGGGCAAAATTTTTTATGAAAGGGTCTCAAACTGCGAGGGGGTCATCTTGCAAATCTATCTGGCCTTTAGGGTCAAAAGATAGAGCCTTCGTTCGTACGCCATTGGAAGCGCCTTGACACGGAGAATAAAAGTATGTTCTCTGTTTTTCAAAATTCCTTTTCGTTGTTGAAAAACGTGGCCTCTACTCGGAAAAACGCTGATTCAAAATATAATACTTTCATCGCGTGAAAGT